TTTCTCAATTCAGAAATAATTCTGTTCTCATTTTTAAAAGTTATTTACTTTATTTGTGTGTACATATTGTAATCATCTAGTATTTGTTGTCTGGATGTAATGGAGGCAAACAACTTTACTGTTTTCCTCCATTCCACCTCTTAGTGACCATATGTGTATTAGCGGCTGTCTCTAATGATGGTGTGCCCTGGTAAACTCCTCTGTAACTCAGAAAGTGGCTAAATTTCTGTGAAATCTAAAATCAGTGGTTGGAGCTTGGTTACCCCATCATTTCCCACTGATTCAAACTTTGCCGGCAGCTTCCTTGCCTTGCCTGGCATTCAAAGGCTAGTTCTTGAAAATATTCCCTCTGAGAAAAGTGAAAAATTCACATTTCCCCTAGAATTCTAAGTAACAATTATTTCTCAAAATCAATGTATTCTATTGAAAGGGAGAAGAATGGGGCGCCTGGGTGGCTCAGTGGGTTAAAGCCTCTGCCTTCAGCTCAGGTCATGGTCCCAGGGTCCTGGGATGGAGCCCTGCATCGGGCTCTCTGCTCAGCAGGGAGCCTGCTTCCTCCTCTCTCTCTCTGCCTGCCTCTCTGCCTACTTGTGATCTCTGTCTGTCAAATAAATAAATAAAATCTTTTTTAAAAAATTAAAAAAAAAAAAAAAAGAAAGGGAGAAGAAGCATTCTAGCATCGTTTGACGATGGCAGTTGTGGTGGGGCGGGGGCGGGGGGGTGGTGGGACAGGGTAGGAAGGGGAAGGTTATAGCCAAAAATCCTTTTTTCTTTAGAAACTCCCATGCAAGCAAATCTTGGGTCCCTCTCTTTTTAGAAATGACTCACTTTATCAGTTTAAATAAAAAACTCATTCTTTTCTACTTACTCCCCTTTATTAAAAAAGAAAAAAAAAAAGAGTAAGGTTAGATGGATTAAAAAAGAAAAAAAAAAGAGTAAGGTTAGATGGGGTACTGGGCTGTCATGAAGCATAGTTTTATACCACCTTTCTCACTGACTTTCCTGATGAACCCCTACAGGTTCTATAGATAGAATTCAGGGTGCCAGTGAATTTGGAAAGGAAAAAAATTATATCATTATTAATTGAAATTTAGCATTTCATTCAGCACCTCCCAACATCTCCTCTATGTGTTACTTCTTCCCATTTGTAGGCTTAAATATGCCATGTAGTCCTTCGATTATTACTACAGACAAGAAACCAGAGTGTTAGTAGGACTTGCGACTTTTCACCAATAGAAGCCAGGTATTTTATTGCTTTTGCATTTGTTGCTGATTTATCTCAAAGTATCATAACCATTTATCACTACTTCAAAATCATGGTAGTTAATAGATTTGCTGCTATAACTTAAAATTTTATGTGTTAATAAGAAAGCACATATCTTACAATATCACATATTTGTTTTTTAATATACTGATGACCACATTTTGATAGAATTGGTTTCCTTTGGGTTCTTATGTATGTTATTTTTTAAAAAGATCTTTATTGAGATATAATTCATATCACATAAAATTCATTCATTTAAAGTGTACAATTCAATGGCTTTACTGTAGTCACTGAACTATACAACCATCATTATAATCTAAGTTTAGAACATTTTCATTACCACAAAAAAGAAACCCATCCTCATTAGTTATCACTTTCCACTCTCCTCCTTCTAGCCCCCAGCCCTAGATAACCACTAATCTACTTTCGATTTTTATAAATGTGCCTATTCCAGATCTTTCATATAAATGGAGTCATACAATATGTGGTCTTTTGTAACTGGTGTCTTTCACTTAATGTAATGTTTTTTAAGTTTCATCTGAGTTGTAACATGGATCAGGACTTCATTTCTTTCTACTGTCAAAAAATATCCCATCGCAATAGATATACCATGTTTTTATTCATACTGATGGAAATTTAGGTTGTTTCAACTTTTTAGCTATTATGAATAATGCTGGTATGAGCATTCAAGTACAATTGTTTGTGTAGATGGTTGCTTTAATTTATAATGGGTTTATACCTAGAGTTGCTGGGTCATAAGGTAATTTCATGTTTAACCTCTTGAAGACTTGCCAGACTGTTCTCCTAAAGTGGTTGTACTATTTTATACCACAGGCAGTGTTTGCCAGTTTTGTTTTGTTTTTAAGATTTTATTTATTTATTTGACAGAGAGAGAGAGAGATCACAAGTAGGCAGAGAGGCAGGCAGAGAGAGGGAGAAGCAGGCTCACTGCTGAGCAGAGAGCCCGATGCAGGGCTTGATCCCAGGACCCTGAGATCACGACCCGAGCTGAAGGCAGAGGCTTAACCCACTGAGCCACCCAGGTGCCCCAGTGTTTGCCAGTTTTGATCTCTCAATGTTCTTTCTATCTCTTGTGGTTGTGTATCTTTTTGTTTATAGCATTCTAGTAGGTATGAAGTAGTATCTCATTGTGGTTTTGATTTGCATTTCCCTAATGGCTAAAAATGCTTCACATTTTTTCATGTGGTTATTGTGGTGTCTAAACAGGGTGTACCTCGATCAGATGGGGCCCCCCAAATGTGGGGCAACATAGAGTGGAGGCCAGTGGTAGGGGCAGTGAAAGAATTCACCTGAGGCAGAACAAAGGAGACAGAAGTCTATTAAACATACCACAGGGGAACAGCTGGCAGAACAGTGGCAGGAAGGACAGCAGAGAATAGGCTGTCTGCAATGAAGCAGTGGGTGGGGGCTGTTTTTAAGGTGGGGAGGTGAGGAGGTATGGCAACATACGGAATTCTCCCTTTTCGGTAACTGTGCCTGATTGTAAGTAGCCCATTGGTTAGTTAGGGTCTATGGATATCTGGAGGTGGGTGAGCCTGATGGATGTTTTCTACATTCCATTGCTGAAGCCCTTTTGCCAGTTATGGGCCATCTGTATTCCTTTTTTTTTTTTTTTTTAAGGTTTTATTTATTTATTTGACAGAGTGACACAGAGAGAGCATGAGACGGGAGAAGGTCAGAAGGAGAAGCAGACTCCCCGCTGAGCAGCGAGCCCAATGCAGGACTCGATCCCAGGACTCCGGGATCATGACCTGAGCCGAAGGCAGTCGCTTAACCAACTGAGCCACCCAGGCGCCCCTTGTATTTCTTTTTTGAAGAACTATCTATTCAAATCCTTTCCCCATCTTTAATTGGATCATTAATTGATCCAATGATCAATTAATTAATTAATTTTAATTTAAAGTTTTTATTTTAAGTAGTACAATTTACCTTTTCTCTTTATGGCTTGTGCTTTTGATGTCATATCTCCTAAGAAATCATTGTCTCGGTAATGATTGAACAACTCTGTGAATATACCAAAAACTATTGAATTATATATTTTAAATGAGTGAATTATATAATATGTGGCTTAATCTAAGAGAGATACCTTTTAAAAATAGCAAAAGAAAAGAAGAGGTAGACTGAGAAAAATCCAGACTTTGCTGTCACCGTTTGGTCATCTCTGTACATATACCAATAAATCCTCCTTATTGTTTAAAAATAAATAAGTAAGTGGGGCACCTGGCTGGCTTGGTTGGAAGACCATTCAATTCTTGATCTCCAGGGTTGTGAGTTCAGGGCCCCAAAATAAGTGAAGATTACTTAAAAAAAATTAAAATCAATAAATCAGGTCCTAAAATTAGACCATGATAACGGTTGCACAACTCTGTAAATATACTAAAACTATATATACTTTAAATGGATGATTTTATGGTATATATAGATTATATTTTGATAAAACTGTTTTTAAAAAGGCGGAAGAAACCATTCCCTAATCTACAGTTACTCAAGTTTACTCATATTTTCCTCTAAGAATTATATCATTTTAGTTCTACTAGGTTTTTGATCCATTCTGAGTTAATTTTTATGGTGTGAAGGAGTCCAACTTTATAAACTTGATTTTATGCTCTTAAAAAAAAAAAAGATTTTATTTATTTATTTATTTATTTTAGAGGGGGGAGAGAGAGAGAGCATGAGCAGGGGGAGGGGCAGAAGGAGACAGAGAAAAACAATCTCAAGCAGACTCCCCACTGAGCTCGGAGCCCAATGCAGGGCTGCATCTCAGGACCTGAGATCACTACCCCAGCCAAAATGAAGAGTTGGTGCCTTAAGGGACTAAGCCACTCAGGCAGCCACTCTGCCCCTCCCTGTGCTCATGTGCTCTCTCTTGCTCTCTCTCTCTCTCTCTCTCTCTCTCAAATAAACAAATAAAATCTTTTTTTGTTGTTTTAAAATTTTTTAAAAGATTTTATTTATTTATTTGAGAGAGAGGTCACAAGTAGGCAGAGAGGCAGGCAGAGAGAAGGGGCGGGGGAGCAGGCTTCCTGCTGAGCAGAGAGCCTGAGGCGGGGCTGGATCCCAGGATCCTGAGACCATGACCTGAGCCCAAGGCAGAGGCTTAACCCACTGAGCCACCCACGCACCACAAGAACACTATTTTGAGAAGGAGTCCATAGGTTTCACCAGATGACAAGGGATTCATGGTATAGAAAAAGTAAGAAATCTTTGCCTTAGAAGTTGGGGAATACTCTTAGTTCTCTGGGCCTCAGTCCCTTGTAAATTCATGGGTGGGATTAAACTGGGAAGTCCCTTCCAGTTCTATGGTGCTTTTCATTGTGCAGACATTATGGGTAGAGATCAACGACTCTTTTCTTAAGAAAATACCGGTTGCTTCTAAGTACTTTTTTTAAAGGAAGCCAAGCTCTGGCAATTACAAGAGGGCTCAGCCGGAGCTTTATCAAGTGTTTTAAGGGGTAGAGGTGACACAATAGGGGAAGGAAAAGCAGTCAATTGCCTGCAACAAGTAGCCAACAAACTGGGAAAAGATTTTTTTCCTCTGGTTTCAGTTGAATGCCAGCTTTTGGAAGGTAAATAGAAGAGGCCTGATGAAAGAGTAATAGACACCCCCAAATGAGGGAGGGCATTGTTTGTACAAAGTTAGCAGGAGGAGAGATGCCAAGCATGCAACTGAGCCACTGGCACTAAAGTCATCGAAGGGGAAGAAAAATCCGGAAAATACAATCAAATGTTTACTTTTGCAATGATAAAGGTAATTTTACAATTTTTGCTCCATATAATTTACCTCTTTCTTAAATCTTAAACCCAGTATAGAAGGTGTTATATATTGTTTGGGTCTCTTTCAAAATTAATCAAATAATTATGAAAAAAATCATTTGCATTTTCAAAGTCTTTGGCATTAAAATTTATAAGCTACTTGATCATTGTCTATATGCACTGCAATTTTTCCTTAAATCTATTCCCCTACAACAGAACTACTGATAATAGTTACAAAAAGGAAGCAAACCGTCTGCAAAAAGTTTGATTAAATACGGAGTTTAAAAAAGACTATGGGATATTTGCAGAAGGGCTAGCATGTTCTTCTGAGGCTTGTAAATTACCCTAATACATAGAGCACGCTAAATTCTCCATATTTTTGCAAATTTCGCATGTCATACATTGACATCCTTTTAAATTAACACTATGTCTCCTATCAAGGACAGGGAGAAAATCCTTAGAGGCTCGAGAGTTAGGACTTTCACTTTTCCTCTCCCCAGCCCTTTTTCCTCAGGCTTTTTCCCTCTTCCAAGAAGTACCAACAGTGTGGGGAAGAGGAAGAGTGTGGGCAAAGAGGCAGCAGGGTTAGGGCGCGAGAGCCCTGCAGGCTAGTCAAAGGTCAGCATGGAAGGGACTGTCTGTGAGAGGACAAGGAAGCTGAACTTCTTGTGAGCCAGCTCAACTGGACGGCAGCCAATCTCTGTCTCCTTCCTGGGCCCGCCTGGAGCTCTTCATGGCTGTTTGGCCCTACATAAAAACAAAAATACTCTGTAAAAATAGGGTCTAGTTTCACCTTTTTAGGTGAACAGACTGAGCCAGGTTTCAGCAGGGGGTCAAGGGACAGAGGACAGAGAGGACCAAACTGATATTTGCTCTGTCAAAACTTACAGGCTTATTTGGAAAGACTGAAACTAAATAAAGACTTCTTATGAGCATAGGACTAGAGTTGTGAAATTTGGTCAAAGGGTTTCATGCAAGGTTGTATGTGTATATATATATATATATATATATATATATACATATACATACATACACACACATGTATGTATACATTCTCATGGTAACGGGGAAAAGTAAGGAAAATGCAATATTTTAATTAGGAAAGAAAGCTATTATTTTTCGTAAATTCATAACATTTCTCATGCCAGCAATTTTCTTTTTATACTGGAACGCAGGAATGATGCTCCCAAGTTTTTGCCCCTCTCCTCAAAATGAAAAAGGAAGTAAAATTCTTTTCACAGAAATAAAAAGCACTTTTTTTTTTTTTTAAAGATTTTATTTATTTGTCAGAGAGAGAAAGCCAGTGAGCACAAGCAGGGGGAGTAGCAGGCAGAAGGAGAAGCAGACTCCCTGCTAAGCGGGGAGCCCCACATGGGACTTGACCATGACCCAAACCGAAGGCAGATGTCTAACCAACTGAGCCACCCAGGTGTCCCTAAAAGGCACTTTTAAAAAAAGAGCATTAAACCAACATTAGATGACTTATTAGAAAACAATCTTCCTGTTTAACTGGGTTTTTCTTCAGATTTTCTAAGAAAAACTGACATCTACCTTGATGTGTTAGTTCCTTTTTTGCTTTCATAAATTGTTTTCTCACATTTACTTCCTAGAGGAGTACTTTTTTATTGTTCTGTGAAAATCTGACTGTAATCCATCAGATATCAATTGTTAGTAAGGTAATATGTGTAAAACTGGAGATGTCTGGGTGGCTTAGTCAGTTAAGTGTCTGTCTTTGACTAAGGTCAGGCTGACCCAAGTCGGGCTTTTCTCCCTCTACCTGCTGCTCCCCCTGCTTGTACTCTTTCTCTCTCGCTCTGCCAAATAAATAAATAAAATATTTTTTAAAAATTATGTGTAAAACTGAAAAACAAACATTTATGTCCAGAAATCATGGGCCTTTTTGCTTTTTTTGCACTAAGGTGCTCTCAGCCTATATTTTGGAAATATGCATTGAAACATAAGGGATATCTGATCTCTCCTGAGTACATGATCTTTCCCAACGCCTGTCTGGTTCATTGTCTTTTCCATAGGAGGGAAAATAGTGAAGAGTGGGTCCAACAGGGAGGAATGTTACCCAAGGTAGCCTGAGACAACATAGCTGGAGGGATAGTCCCCAATTTTCATCATCCTATTTGTAGGGAGTCAAGGTCATGGTACAGAAGACAACCTTGTGCATTCGTGGGCCAGGCAAATGCAGAGAGGTAAGTGGTGAAGCTGAGATCAGGTGAGTGAAGCCATGAACAGAGTGAGGTGGGTGGAGAGGGTCAAGGGTAGTGTTTCAGTTCTGAAGCTACGAACAGGAAGCAGGGCCAGAGTGCCTCTTTTACGTCAGCTGTTGAGAGAGGTTCTGGTGCTTGGAGCAGATGCCCAGCACTCCAGGCTAAATATTGAAAGTCAATACGTATACCAGACATATCTGCATTCACTCTTTCAAACACTTTCTTTTCGTCTCAGTGCTGTAATAGTGTTTTATCCTTTCATTCTTCCTTCCATGGGTTCCTGTTTTTAAACTCCATTCTCCATACTTCTAGGTTCCTTTGCATTTTTTGGGTTTGTTTTCTTTAAGGGCTTTGTGAAAGCTAGCATTTTTGCCTTTTTTTTCCCTTTGTTCGTGTAGTCTGACCTGGAAACCAGGACTTTATGTTGGCCTAGATTTCTCAGGTCTCTAATCAACTCTGCAGAAAGTGAAATAGCTTGGCGACAGGCATAATAATAATAATTAAAAATAACTGTGAGTGCAGAACTAAGAAATGAGATTCAAAAATAAGAAGGAAAGTGATAGAGAGTCCTAGACTTTCATGTAAAAATATCTATTCTGGTCAACTTAGAAGCACCCTTACAAATCAGTTAATAGCCATCTCTCAATGTGGAGAAAAGCAAAACCACTGGGAAATACTGCCTTCAGGAGTAAAGTTTGCTTTGTGTATTACCTTCTGGTGCAATTCCCACATACAAACCAACTTTTGAAAAGCTTGAAGAAAACAATGGCTGCCACTAGTTAGATTTCCAAGGGTCCTTGTAAAACATAGAGTAGATTTGTTTTGCTGGGACAACTCCTTCATAGAAGTTCTCACTTAAATCCATGCATGGTCATTTTCTATCTCCCCTTTATGCATTCTTGTTTGCTGAACGTAGTCTCGTCAACGAGTTATTTTAAAAAGTACTTTTTTAAAGTTACCCACACCCTAAACAGCAGAACTGCTCTGTGTATACAAATGCTCTGGAAAGGCACAAGTCAGGTATTGGGTGTAGGCACAGGACAAACCGCATCGTCTGCCTTGGCGGCCCCGTCCTCACCTGCAGGCAGCCCACACACACTCCCTTCCAAACGGTGCTCTTCTGATGCCAACTGGCTAGCTGAACCACTCCGGGAGGAGGCCTATGGGAGGAGAAGGGGGGAAGGTGATGCAGAGAAATATTTTATAAACTAAACTTTAAGCTTTCAATTTGATTTACTCTTTTGACCAATTCACACTGTAAGTCCCATCTCTTAAAAACCTTGGGTACTGAGGAGTTAAAGGGGTATGGAAGCTGGTGTAGCCCGGGGCTGCCATCCAAGGCCGGCAGAAAAGGCAGCAGGAAGGGTTTGGTTCTGGCTAGGCTACAGACGGGCCATCTGGATGCAGGGAAGGCCTAGAATGCCAGAAACAGCTTTTCTTTTTGGTGTTAGGCTTCATTAAGTTCAGCCTGGGGAGAGTCTTTTTGGTTTGAGACCCAAACTGAGAGTCTTCTTTGAATAGGGATTTGATATTTTGAATTTTATGGAGCAAAACACCCACTACATACAGTCTTTTGGTAAGGAAAGTCACAAAAAGCAATGTACATGAGTAAATATATTTTTAAAAGCATTCAGACCAGACTCCTAGATTTATAAATACACAGAAAGTATGCGTAGTCTTTAATTAATTTTGATAGGAATAGATAAATCTGAATAGGTTGTCCGAAAAGGAAAAAAAAAAAACCTTGGTTTTTAAAAAAAAATATTGTACCAGTCTGTGATTCTGATAAAGAATTGTTTTATTATTTTTCCTATAGTTCACCTGGAAAGCAGTTTCACCACACTGGAATTACTTTGAGGTCTTTAAAATTATTTTCCTTCTCCATTTTTGTTTTATATTTAACTATATTACATTTGGCATAAAGTTGGCATGGGCCAGTAATAATTCCTTTCACAGGAAATTTTCTTTAGTAAAAATGAAAGAAGAAAAAATGCTGCAGGGAAATTATAGCAACTTCCTACTCTATATCACTCATGAACATACACTCTTTTTGGAAACCACCCTCTTTAAAAGATATGATCTATTCTTCCCTAGCTATAGCAGTCTGCTTTATATTTGTATGTGTTATTCTTAACAATTAAAGGAAAAGGTGAATGTAAATTCACTTGGACAAAACAAAACAGGAAAGAGAATATTATCCTTAAGAGAATTCTTACCTTAAAGAAGAGAAAACGCACGTATCTTTCTGGGTGGGGAAAGGGGGGCGGGGAGGGCGGGCAGACTTTTTCCTCTCCAAGGCATTAATTGCCACCTAGCAGCAGAGAAGGGAATTGCGCCCTGGACTTCAAGTCAATTGGTTTTAAAGGGCACGTTACTTTTTTTTTTTACAGTAATCCCTACACTCAACATGGGAGTTGAACCCACAACCGCAGGATCGAGAGTTGCCCGATCCACAAACTAAGCCAGCCAGGCACCCCTAAAGGGCATGTTACTTTTTTTTTTTTTTTAAGATTTTATTTATTTATTTGTGAGAGAGAAAGAGAGAGCGTGAACGAGAGAGAGAGAGAGAGAGAGAGAGAGAGAGAGAGAGAAAGGACAAGCAGGAGGAGAGGCAGAGGGAGAACCAGATGAGCAAGGACCCTGATGCGGAACTCAATCCCAGGACCTGGAGGTCATGCCCTGAGCCGAAGGGAGACACTTAACCGACTGAGTCCCCCAGGCGAAAGGCACGTTATTTTTATCATGACCAATATTTGAAGAATAATTAGCCTACTCATAGATTAGGGATTGAATTTTTTTCACTCTTGTCATGAGGAAACAAAAAGAAATACAACAAATGAAAAATTTTGGCTTATTGCTAAGAATGCTCTTTCCATCACAAAATGTCTTGGTTTTTGTTGTTGTTGTTGTTTCTCAATGGTTACCCCTGCCACCTCAGCAATAGCCAAAGGGAAAGAAAGGCTGAACTCACTCTGGGACTAAAAAATGCTGGCTTTGGCTTATTAAAGGTAGAACTGGGTGTAGGCATCTTTATTTTAAAGATCTTATTTATTTATTTGACAGACAGAGATCACAAGTAGGCAGAGAGGCAGGCAGAGAGAGAGGAAGGGAAGCAGGCTCCCCACTGAGCAGAGAGCCCGATGCGGGACTTGATCCCAGGACCCTGGGATCATGACCTGAGCCGAAGGCAGAGGCTTTAAGCCACTGAGCCACCCAGGTACCCCAGAACTGTCTGTTTTTAATACGGAAAGTGATTTCCCAAATAATCTTGGGGTGGATTTCTATAAAAAAAGGATCAAAATGGATTTTATTTGGTTAGGATAAGAGGTTGTTTATTTTAAAAATTAGAAGACATCTTCCTATAAAGCATGAAATAATTTCTAGACCAATGATTATTCAAATCTGTTGAAGAAGGACATCCTTATTTCAAACTTTACCAACTATGTGTCTACTTTTATAGCAGTCAGCCATACTGAATGCCAAAGCTTTAAAGGAATCTCTATCCTTGTATTTCAGAGATCTTGGCAACAAAAATAAAAGTAACTTCTTTCTTCAAAGAAGACCTACAGGTGGCCAACAGACACATTAAAAGGTGTTCAGTATCACTCATCATCAGGGAAATGCCAGTCAAAACCACAATGAGATATCACCTCATACCTGTCAGAACGGCTAAAATAAAAACACAAGAAACAACAAGTGTTGGTAAGGATGTGGAGAAAAAGGAACTCCCGTATGCTGTTGGTGGGAATCCAAACTCATGCAGCCACTGTGGAAGACAGAATGGAGGTTCCTCAAAACATTAAACATAGAACTACCCTATAATCTAGTGATTGCACTACTGGGTATTTACACAAAAAAATGCAAAAACACTAATTCAAAGGGATACATGCACCCCTATGTTTACTGCAGCATTATATGCCATAGCCAAACTATGGAAACTGCCCATGTGCCCACTGATGGATGAATGGATAAAGACAATATGATATATATATATATATATATATATATATATATATACACACACACACACACACACACACACACACACACACATACATATAATGAAATACTATTCAGCCATCAAAAAGAATGAAATCTTGCCATCTGCAACAACATGGATGGAGCTAGAAAGTATAATACTAAGCAAAATTAGTCAGCAAAAGACAAATACTATATGATTTCACTCATATGTGGAATTTAAAAAACAAAATAAATGAGCAAATGAAAAAAAAAAAAAGAAATAGACTCTTTCTTTTTAAAACTAAGCTTTCTGCCCAACGTGATGCTTGAACTCACAATCCTGACAGCAAGAGTTTCATGTTCTACCAATTGAACCAGTCAACCAGGATATAGACTCTTAACTATAGAGAACAAACTGATGGTTACCAGAGGGGAGGTGGGTGGGGGTAAGGGTGAATTAGGTGATGGGGATTAAGGAGTATGTTTCTCATGATGAAAAATAAGTTACATTTTCAGCCAGGAAACTTTTTTTCAACTTCTTAGCTTTTGAAGTTCTCCTAAATATTTAATTTTGCTTGAATCTCCCTTGAGAAATGTTTATTTTATTTGTTTTTTTTAAACTGTGCTTTTTAAAAAAAATTTATGTGAGAGACAGAGAGAGCATGAGCAGGAGGGGCAGAGGGAGAAGGAGAAACTGATTCCCTGCTGAGCAGGGAGCCTGATGTGGGGCTTGATCCCAGGACCCTGAGATTATGACCTGAGCTAAAGGCAGACACTTAACTGATTGAGCCACCCAAGAGCCCCATTACTTTATTTATTTATTTAAGATACTATATATGGGGGAGGGAGTCACTCACTGGATACTCCAGTTTGCCACATTTTATTTAGCTAAATAGTAGGTATTGTTACAGTATAGATTCTATGAGTATATTATCACCAAGGCAACCAGCAACATTTTGGAAGACAAATGCTGGTTTAAAGATAATAGTAGTAGCTAATATTTTATTGAATATTTACAATGAGCCAGACAGTGTGTTAAGCACTTTAAATAAAAAAGTTCACTTAGTCTTCATAATAATCATAAAAGATACTAGCCAATATTATCTTTATTTTATTTTTAAAAATTTTTAAAAAGATTTTATTATTTATTTGACAGATAGTAAGTGAGCACAAGCAGGGGGAGTTGCAGGCAAAGGGAGAAGCAGATTCCCTACCAAGCAGGGAGCTCTATGTGGGTCTCAATCCCAGGACCCTAGAATGATGACCTGAGCTAAAGGCAGACATTTAACTGACTGAACCACCCAGGTACCCCTTAAAGATTTTATCTGCACCCAGTGTGTGGCTTGAACTCAACCCCAAGATCAAGAGTCACAGGTTCTACCAACTGAACCAGCCAGAAGCCCTGGTGACTCCCAATTTTAGATCTGCAGCCTCCATCTCTCCACTGAATTCCAACTCACATGCCAACAAACTATGCCTCAACTCCACTAGACAGTCCAGTAGATATCCCAAAGTTGAAATATACAAAACTGCCTCCTCATCTCCCCCCCGACCCAAAACCTGCTCCTCCCACCTCTCCTTCCGTACAGTTCACTGGAACTCCATTCTTCCATCTGCTCAGGCCAGTAACATTCATCCTTTTGAAACCTCTCTTCCTCTTACCTGCCACATCCAATCCATCAGGCTCTGCCTTCAAAATAGATGCAGAATCCAACTATGTCCCACCATCTCAGCATTACAACTCTGGCCTAAGCCACCGTCATCTCTAAGAGCCTTGATCTTATTAGCCTGCTTGGCCCTCTATAATCTGTTCTCAATACATGGGTCAGGACAATCTTTTTTAAATGTCAGTCTTGGGGCACTCGACTGGCTCAGTTGGAAGAGCTTGGGACTCTTGATCTCGGGGTTGTGAGTTCGAGCCCCACATTAGGTATAGAGATTACTTAAAAATAAATAAACTTAAGAAAATGAAAATAAGGGATGCCTGAGTGGCTCAGTCAGTTAAGCCACTGCCTTTGGCTCAGGCCATGATCCCAGGGTCCTGGGAATGAGTCCCGCATCGGGCTCGTTGCTCCGCAGGGAGCCTGCTTCTCTCTCCGCCTCTGCCTGCCACACTGCCTGCTTGCGTGTGCTCTCTCTCTCACAAATAAATAAATAAATAAATAAATAAATAAATAAATAAATAAAATCTTTTTAAAAA